CTTGGGCACTCTGACATCAGACTGATAGCATTTCCTGAGCCTTCATTGGCTCCTAGGTGGGGAGCTGGCCTGCCCCAGGACAAGTAGGCTTGTCTCTGCCTTTAAGAAGCTTGGTACTGGGGCTGGGTTCGATCCTTAGCACCCCATAAAAATAAAATAAAGGTATTGTGTCCAACTACAACTAAGAAAAAAAATTAAAAAATAATAGAATATTTTTAAAAAAAGCTCGGCACGCACCTGTGATCCTGTGACTTGGGAACCCCCCTGGGAGGAGGCAAGTGTGAGTCCAGCCTGAGCAGCTTAACAAGACCCGGTCTTGAAAATAAAGAGCGTGTAGCTCCATGATAGAGACCCCTGGGTTCAATCCCCAGCACTCTCTCACACWCAAAGGTGCCCCCTGTGATAAAAGAAAGGAAAAACAGGCAACATTAGATAAAGAGGATTGCTTAATTACACTCCAAGCACAGGAGGGAGTGGCCCACTGTATCCGGGTCCACCAGGAGTGGAAGGGGAAGGAGGCACTGGCTGCGGGAGAAAGAACCTACCAGGCAGGGTCACAGCACATGCAGGGATCCTGGGGTCTGAAACAGCTGGAGTGCTGGGAAAAGGCAGCCCGAGTGAAGTCAGGAGGAGGAGACGTGGCTGGCAGCAGACCCAGAAAGAGTTTCTCTGTCAAGGTAAGCGGTTCACACATTCAGTCAACAAACACTCAGAATCAGTGAGTTCCTGTAAGTGCCTCTTCCAGTCAGGGGACCAGTGATGCCTCTCAGCTTGATAGGTTACCAAGGTCTCAGGGAGAAACTTGCGGGGAGTTGATTAGGAACAAACTCTTTGCTAATTTGCTAGAAGATCCCACACTGAGGTCACTAACTGCCATTGAAGGCACCAGCTGATGAGGCTGAATCACTAGGCAGTTGTCACGTCCATGTTCCATCAGCTGTGGGATCATCATGGCACCAGAGGAAAATGCCATCCGTCATCCCAGGCTCGTGGGGGCACCAACTCTCTTGGATTTCCCACTTGGGACAAATGAAGTCCCAGGGACTTCCATTTCTCCTTCCTGCCATCAGGGACACCGAAGTGTGGCCTGTGCCACTTTATGAGCCGTCTGTTTCCCCAGCACTCTCCCAAGCTCAGGCAGGAGCCACACGGGGCTGGGTGCATCCGCTGCCCACTGTGTGGTGGTGTGAGGCCGGGTCTCCACTGGTCACCTGATGCATCAAGCACCACCAGATCAGGGTCCACCAAGACCTTCGTTCTTGTGATTCTAGGGTCCCTCCCTCTCAGGCCCCCATCACCCTGGAAACAGGTGCTAGGGAAGGCCAGGAAGAAGGCCAGGCAGGCTCGGGCAGTGTCAGCGAGTCCTTCCTGCACAGGGCTCTGGGTCTGGGGCTGTGGGAACTGTGCGGCTGTGCTGAGCTGCACACATCTCCATCACAGTCCCAGAGCGGGCCCCAGCCCCCTGGAGTTGAGCGGCTCACGGATGCTGCATTCCTCAGAGGACTCTCCTGGCCCAACAGGAAGATGGTGTAGGGGGAGGTCCAGGACCTCTCCCCCTGGAGGAGGCCATAGGCAAAGATCCGGGGCACACAGCTCAGGGCCTTGTCCCCAACATGGGAGGCCACACTCTCAGCTCTTTCCCCTGCCCCATGTCGCTTCCCTCACACCTCAACCCCATGAGCTTCTGGTAGGCTTTTAACATTTTTCTTAGTATTTATTTTTGAGGTACTACAAATTGAACCCCCGGGTGCTTTGCCACTAAGCCACATCCCCAGCCCTTTTTTTAAAAAAATATTTTTTAGGTGTAGATGGACACAACACCCTGCCTTTATTTTTATGTGGTGCTGAGGATCGAACCCAGTGCCCCACATGTGTTAGGCAAACGCTCTACCACTGAGCTACCACCCCAGCCCCCAACCCTTTTTATTTTTTGAGACAGGGTCTCACTAAGTTGTCCAGGCTGACCTTGAATTTGCATCCTCCTGCCTCAGCCTCCTGAGTTGTGGGGTGACAGGCCCCCAGCCCAGCCTTTGTGAGCTGCTGACTCTAGGCCTCAGACTCTGCTCCCGGGGACACCAGCTAGGCACCCTGGTGCCCCCTGTGGTGGCTCACACCTGGTCCCTGTCACCCCACAGRGAAACTGTGATCACATGAACCAAGTCACACTTTGCTGAAAGGGGCTGGAAGGAAGTCCAGCTGTGGGGAACTTTAGAGCTGGCTCCATGGGTGACTGTGGTCACCCAGGGACTTGTGGGAAAGGAGAAGAAAGACCTGGTGTCCCGTGAGGCTGTGCCTTCCTGTGGCAGTTCAGAGCCAGGGAGGGTAGGCAAGGCTCTAGGGTGGGCTTTGAAGAACACCAAGTACAAGCTGATGGGCTGSGTGGGCGTGGCACCCACAGAGGCCATCTTTTGCTTTTAGACGAGGAACGTGGGCACCTTACAAGCYGGGGACGATCCAGAAGGATGCAGGGGGGAAGGGGAGAGGAAGAGAGAGAGCCAAAGATGAAAGGTATAGGAGAGAAACGGGAAGAAACCCTGGCTGGTGGGGTGGGGCCATTGCCCACCAAAAGGAAAGACTGCCACTTATCCCTTGGTAACACAGAAGAGGCTCTGAGTGACTTCCTGTAAGCAGGGTGTGACACTGGAGTACCATTGGACGTCTCTTTCAACAGCACATGCTTGAGTATAAACTGTGCTTGTGGCTGGGTGTGGTGGCACACGCCTGTAATTCCAATGACTTGGGCTGAAACAAGAGGATGGAAAGTTAGAGGTCAGAGACTCTATTTCAAAATAAAAAATGACAAGGGCTGGGGATGTGGCTCAGTGGTACAGCACCCCTGGGTTCAGTCCCTGGTCCCAATAATAACAACAATGCCTATCACTGCAGTTAGGATATTCAGAAATACCCCTGGGGCACAGTGTGAAGATCAGTGTTCCACACCTGGGAGGATGCAAGAGGGGGAGGGGCAGAAGCCACGTCCAGCCCTGGAGGTGTCCGTTCCCTGGGCCCCCTTCCTCCTTTGCTCAAGAGCAGAGTCGGGCGGAGAGGCTCCGGGGATACTGCAATAGTGCTAGTTCCCTCTCCTCCCTTCCGTCTTGTGACCCTGCTTGACCAACGGGGGTTGACATCATAGAAAATGGTGAGAAGGGCAAGCCTTTATTGAAGGACTCCTGTGTGCCAACGTGGTGGAGGCCAGCGCCATCCAAGATGCCCCCGGCGCTCATGCCCTCTTCACACCCCCATGCAGTGAGTAGGGTGATGAGTCAGGGACAGGACGCTCCAGAATGGCAGGGGGCCTCCGGAGGGCCTTCGGCCTGGCCATCTCTCCTGGACCATCTGCTCTGGGGAGGCTGGCATCTGCGTGTGAGGACCCCCAGGACGTGCCGTGGGGAGGTGTGCGTGGTGAGGAGCCATGGCTCTGGCCCACATCCAGGCTGCTGAGGCCTCACACCGAGAGCCGAGAGGCTCCTTGTCCCCAAGCCAGCGGAGCCTGCTGATGAATGCAGCTCGGCCCACACCTTGACGGCAGCCTCAGGAGGAACCCAGAGCAGGAACTGCCCAGCCAGGACGCCACTGGACTCCCAGACCCAGGAGGGGACAGATAATGAATGCCAGCGAGTCTCGGGGGGACGTGTCACCCCGCGGAGACCACTAACACGCCCGCATACCTTAGCAAAACTCGCCACATTTTCAGGCAGGTAAGACTTTTTCCCTTTTTTATTTTATTTTTTATAATGAATGCCACATAAGACACTTCATGACCTTCTAGAAGAAGTGAGTAAGCATTAACTGAGGTACTCTTCATCAACCAAGAAGATGCTTCCCAAGTCGACGGGTGAGGCCAGATACGCACCTGCCTCTTCCATCAGGCTCCGTCAAGATGACCAGCGGGCAGCCCTTTTATCCAAACAGGGACACTGAGACAGCCACTCTCTGGAGCTAGCCAGAAGCGGGTAGCTGCTTTGTATCTGAGGAAACTAGTATTCAAAAGTCAATTTATCAATGAGGAAACAGACAGGGAGATGGGATGAATCACTCCAGGTGACCTGCAGAATGCAAACACAGGTGGCGGCTCCAGTGCCCACCCTTGTCCCCTACAACTGTGTGCAGTGCAGGCACCGTGGGGCAGGCCAGCAACAAGTCCAGGAGACAGCCAAAGGCCGCTTCTGGGCATGGAGCCAAAGTGAGAGTGGGGCTGAGAYGCTGGGAGCTTCAGAGCAGGCACGGTGCTAACTAGTGCACACTTCCACGCTTGTCTCACTCGCTCCTCACCGTGTGTTTACAAAGGGCTGTGCCCGTGGTTTTAGAGGCATCTGAGTTACCATGAGCTGGTCGTTTGCTTGAGGTCACAGGTGGACCGTGGAAAATGGATAATGCAAAAGCCAATCATGGTGTAGGCACAGATGCAGCCCAGGGTGAGCCAGAGCAGGAGGTTTCTGAACTGATCCCAAGGGAGAGTGGAATGAGATGTCCCCACAGAGTGGGAAGACGCCCCTGGGGGAGGAGGCATGTGCATAGGCGGGAGGTGGGACCTCCTGGTTCCTCTGTCAGAGCGCAAGGCTTTGTGGGGCAGGAGACGCGAAAGGGCCCCGGGGACACGAGCTCTTCCTGGGCTGGCCTCCACTTGCTGCCATTCCCTGGGAGGAGGGGGAGTCCGTCAGTCTCCTGGGCTGTCCTGCTCTGACCACAGAATCTGCCCACTGCCTTCTTAACAACAGCTGGAGCAGTGCCCCCTCCGGGTGTTCCTTCGCCTGAGTGGAGGGACCCAGCAGGTGGAGCTGGGGCCCAGGATCCTGAGGGGATCCAGAGAGAGGAGCAGGAGCCTGCCACAGGGCAAGGAGCAGAGGTGAGGCCAGTGCAGGGCGAGCCCGGTTCACAGTCTACAAGCCTCTACTTCCTCCTCCTCCCCTTCCTGCCCTCGCCTCTGGCCTCACCACTGGACTGGGAAAGGGGGAACTCTTGAGTTGAAAGTCCAGCAGGTAGAAGAACCAGGTCTGGGACTCCTGTGTTCCTCCAGCGTCTGGATACATGGCCAGCACTGGCTGGGGCCTCAGGGTCCTGGGGAGCTTGGTGCTACTGGTAAGTCCTCCCCTTCTCAGGAAAGAGCTTGGGTCGCAAGGAAGGGGAGACTGGTGTGAGGGAGCTGGGTCCTTGGCCTGGGATCTGAGGAGGAGGGACTGGTCTCCTGCAGAAGGAAGGCAGATCAAGGTGGGGGAGACGGGCGAGTCTTACACCAGGGTGCAGGGCACACAGGGAGCCCAGAGGCTGACTCCCAGTTGCTGCAGTGCACACAGAGCTCCAAGATCATTGCTGACTTAGACCCAGGGTCCAGGCCCAGCCTCCTCCCTCAGACCCAGGGTCCAGGCCCAGCCTCCTCCCTCAGACCCAGGGT